TTTATGAAAATTAATAAAATATAATTATAGAAAAAAAAAGAAATAATTTATTTTTTTAAAAATAATTTTATTATTTTATACATGTAAAATTTTAAAAGGTGACAAAAGATTAATGGTTATTCCATATTATCAGTGGAAAACAAAATAACTAAGGCCAGATAAAATGGAAAAAAAAATTTTTTCTATTTGAACAGACTATAACATAGGCTATAAGTAAGGAATATAGTCTATTCTCCCAGCAGAATGCTGAAAAGACATGCCTGAAAGAAAAGATTATCAGAAGGATGTAAATTTGTGATTTATCAACAAAGGCATTTGACTGTGCAGACCGCAACAAATTGTGGCTAATGTGAAGAATGGGAATCCCAGAGCACTTGATTGTTCTCATGAGAAACCTATACCTAGACCAAGAAGCTATTGTCTGTCTGAACAGAGAAAAGGAACACTGCATGGTTCAAAATCAAGAAAAAAGTGTGTCAGGGATGTATCCTTTCTCCGTATCTTTTCAGTCTATATACGGAACAGATCATTGAGGAGGCTGGACTTGGCAAAGAATGTGGCATCAAGATTAGAGAAGAGTCATCAACAACCTGCATTATGCAGATGACATAACTTTGCTTGCTAAAACTGAGGAAGACTTGAAGTGTTTGCTGCAGAAGGTCAAAGACTTCAATATGGATTGCATCTCAACATCAAGAAAACAAAGATCCTCACCACTGAGCCAATAGGCAGTATCATGACAGATGGATTGAGATTGGTTTTTCATTATTAATTTTTTTAGGATTGAGGTTGTTAATGAGTTCATCTTGCTTGAATCCACAAGCAACATTCTTAGCACCAATAGTGAGGAAACCAAAAGACGAGTTGCACTGGGAAAATCTATTGTCAAGAATCTCTCCAGAGTGCTAAAGAGTAATGATGTCAGTCTAGAGACTAAGGTGTGCCTGATCCAAGCCAAGGTCTTTTTAATTGTTTGTGATACATATGAAAGGCAGACAATGACTAAGGATAACAAAAGAATTATTGATGTCTTTGAGGAGAATACTGAACACACAGTTGATTATTAAGAGAATAATTAGGTATGTCCTAGAGAGGGAAAAACCAGGTTGCTGCTTGGAGGCTAGGATTTTGAAGCTCCATCTCACATATTTTGGGTATGTTGTCAGGAGGGACTAGTCCTTGGAGAAGGACATCATATTTGGGAGGGTGGAGGAACAGTACAGGAGAAGGGGGCCTTGGATGAGATGAACTAACACAGTGACTGTGGTGAGAGAGATATATCAGAGCCAGTGAAGTTGGCTCAGGATAGGGCAAGGTTTAAAACCACTGTTCACAAGGTCATAATCAAGTCAAAAGCACATAACAACAACATTTTTAATGACAGATATGATACTATCTACCTATAAAGATGCTTCCAAAAATGAATATTCTCTTCTATGTTTTTAACTGTTTTCTTGTGTCAGGAGCACTGCAGATAACTAACAATCTATTAAGGTACAAAATTTAAAAATTTATGCAATGAAGATTATAAAGACCTTACTATTTATACATTTGTAATTTATCACTTGGCTCAAATTATCTAAACAAGATTGTACTTTTGCAAAAATTATGCATATAAGAACATTACCAGTAATCTGCCGTTCTTTGTTCTTTGTTTCTTTTGTTTCTTTCTTTTCCTCATCTCTTCTTTCTTTTAATCGAGAAGGGGAAGGGGATGCAGATCTATGTCGTCTTGGAGACCTAATATTTAACAAATAAAAATGTTAGAAATACACACATGCATACACAATTTTGTGCCGATCAGTGGCTGAAAAGTAAAGGCTAAACAAAACCAAGGCTCTAGAAAGCCAGGAACCCATTAGCAAAGGAAGAAGGTGGTTCTTCATAAGCCTTAATAATTAAGGTGGTTCTTCATAAGCCTTAATAATTGCTAATAATTATTAGCAACAACAACAAAAAAATACAAAGCACTACTTCCTACTTATCAGAGTCATTTGATCTAGCTAAAACGAAAAGACTAATGGACCATGTGAAACTCAATTTCCACTAACCTTAGACCAGAAGAATTAGCTGATACCTCTCTATCACTGCTGACCACTCTAAAAGAGATCACAGTAGAGTCTTTGCCAGAGTGGTGGAAATTCTGGGGCAAATGCAAAACTGTAAAAATGGCCAAACATGCTATATAATAGAGACAGCAGTATGAACTCCCAAGGCTGTAGCTCTAAGTCACCTTTCTTATCTGGAACTGCAATCACCCATGACTCAACAAGAAAGAAGTTTTAATATGCACATAAAAATCTCCACAAAAAGCTGACTAAATCACTATAAAAAAGGAAATAAAAACAAAACGTCTTACTCTTGCCAGGTTCTCCACTCATTTCCCCAAGACTACTACATTCTATATAGAGTGTTATTAACCCCATCTTATTAAAGGGAATGTGACATTTAAAATAAGGCAAGATTAAGCCCCCTCTATTTTTCAAATTCAAAATCCCCTCGTGAGGGGTGGTGGTTGGTTTCACTGGCACGCACAGAAAACCTGGCTTATTTTCTGCATTAACCTGGATCGTCTTCTGTGTGGTGATCGAGAGCGGCTCCTCCTTCGATCTCTCTCCCGGGACCTGGACCTTTCTCGGCGTCTGCGTTCCCTCTCCCGAGATGTGGACCGGGATCGCCTTCGCTCTAATACAAATACATAAATGTGGAGAGAGAAAAATCACCTCTAACATTTGTAGCTCCAATAAAAACAGAATCCATTTCTAGGAATCACAAAAGTAAAAAACGGAAAATTTCTAGTACATATGCCATTTGACCCACCATATCCATTTCAAGGAGTCCTGGAGGCATCACTGTTAAGTGCTGGAATGCTAACAAACGGGGCAGACCGAACCTACTAGATAATCAGGCAGGAGAAAGATGTAACACGTGGCTTCTGTAAAAACTTAGAGCCTTAGAAACCCTATGAGGCAGCTCTATTATGTTCTTTAGGGTGGACATGAGTTTGAACCTTTTAAATAATTACTTTCAGAGCCCCAGAGCGTTGACAGATGGTATGTAACCAAAAGTACCTTGAAAGAAAGGCAGGAAATCAAATACTAACAAATAGTACTACACATGTAAACTCGGAAACAATTTCAATATAGCAGAATAACCTTAAGAACCTTAAAGGGCTAGCTGAAGGTGTTAAAAACTGAGAAAGATGGGTTTAATAATGTATACTGCATTGAAACAGATGAGGGAGGAAACTGTTTAAAAGGGATAACTGATTAGGTATTTTGGTCATGACGGGAATCCAGAGCGAAGGCTGCATAGTGGCGTGGACCTGGGGGGAGGGATTGAAAAACAATAAGAGAATTTTTCTTTTACTTTTCCAACGGAGGGGGGGGGAGAAAAGTACAACAATGAATGAATGGAAATCCAAAGTCTGTAAATTTTCATTGAAATTAATAATTGAAAAAAATTACTTAAAAACAAAACAAAACTTCGTGACTCTGGGCTCAGAAATTCGATCGAGGGTCCGGATGGGTCAGAACAGACTAGCAGGCAGTGACTTCTTGGTTTACCGTACGCTGGATAGACACTACTGCATCCTGTGCTCACTTATTTATACTTAAATACATTTTTTATGGAGATAGTCATGACTTTTAATCGACTGATAACAAAGATTTCTTTTTTGTTTGCTCTGAACATTACATTAATATCTACTCCAGGAACTCGAACAAAGAAGGAAATGAAATCATTAACTAAGCATTGTAGTTTAATTCTAAATGCGTCAGTCACCAATATAATAAAAGTTTCTCAATAAATATAATAAAAGTTTCTCTGCAGAAAGCTGAGAGAGTCAGAGAAATATCTGAGAAAGAAAAACGCCTTGAAACTGGAGATTTCAGGCCCAGGACTTCGTTTTCCGATCCAGACTAAGCTCCCCTTATTAAAAGCAAAAGATATGGCTCTCTACTGGGTAGTACCGGAAAAGTAAAAAAAAAAAAAAGAAAGAAACGCACCCTAAATTATTTTTGGACTCACCTCTCCTAGGAGAACGGCTGCGGCTACGACCCATTCCCAAACCAGCTACTTATGCTGCCCCGGAAACAATAGCGTAATAACATCCGGACAAGTCAAGACCTTCACTTTTTATGAGCCGGCTGGGAAACGTACAATAGCGTAATAACATCCGGACAAGTCAAGACCTTCACTTTTTATGAGCCGGCTGGGAAACGTACAATAGCTCTTGAGAGTTCCGAGTTTAGAAAACAGATTGCATCAAACCAGCCTGGAGTTGTGAGGTGGCTCACAGAGCAGGGCTTGAGGTGCGGATAGAGTTGTCATCTCAACAGGTTTGCTATCTCTTTTTTTTTTTTTTCCCCCTCCTTTTGCTAACTTCTTTGTCTACCATGTTGTTTTTGTTGCTTGTTGTCTACCATGTTGTTATTGTTGTTAAGTGCCGTTGTGTCGTAGGCTACTCATAACGATCTTATGAATGAAAAACCTGGACACATGTATGGCTTTTGTCCTTTCTCCAGTTTCAGAGGGTTTTCAGAGGCAAGCTGTTTTGGAAGTGGATGCCATTCCTGCTTCCAAGCTTGTTTTAATCAGGGAGCTCAACCAAACACTGACCACCATGGATAACCATTTTTGCATTTGACACATCAGTGTCAAAGTGTTCAGCTTCACAGCAACCAAGAGTTACCTCTGTACAGCAAATGGACAGGCCAGGGCTATATGACCTAGAAGAATGTTTCACCTCATAAAAAAAAAAAAAAAGTTTCACCAAAAATAATTAAAGACAGGCCTGAAGGCTGCGGATTAGAGACACCCACCTTTGGCTTGGTAGCATCACTTTCTGCCCACTAGGCCACCTGACCTCTCTCTAGCCGTTGTTGTTTACCATAGGTACTAAAATATTATTTAAAATATCATTTTATTAAAAATAATAAAAATTTTATTTTTTAAATGTCACCTTTTATTTTTGAATAAAATAAAATCTACTGGTTTACTTACAAAGTTCGCATACACTGTTTCACATACCAGATCTTTCCCATTTCCTTTACATACCCCTCCCTCCATGGATCAACTTGTACGGATTAAGCCCTTCCCCTCACCTTCTGTTCCTTCCCTCTCCCCTTGGATCCTCATACACATTCTACAATAATCATTTATATATGGTATTTATCCTTATGGGATTGAGTTAGTTCACTTAGCATAATTCTCTCCAATCCCTCCCAAGTTAGGTAGTAATTTACAGAATCATTGCTCCTTTGAGCTGCGAAGTATTTCATTGTGTGAATGTACACTACTTTCTCAATCCATTCCATTGTGGTTGGACATTTGAGTTGTTTCAATGTTCTTGCAATGGTGAATAATGTTACTATGAACATTGGTGTATAAGTCTCTGTTTATGCCTCGGTTCTCATTTTCTCAGGATATATTCCAAACAGTGGAATATCAGGGTTATATGGGATTTCTATGTTCAGCTTTTTAAGGAAACTTCAAACTGCCTTCTAGAATGGTTGTACCATTTTACAATCCCATCAACAATGTAAGAGTTCTTATCTCACCATATCCTCTCCAACATTTATTACTTGCTGCCCTGTTAAACTTTGCCATGGCTACTGTGGTAAGGTGGTATGTCATTGTGGTTTTATTTGATCTCTCAGTGATTTTTAGCATTTCTTAATGTGTCTGTTGGCCATACAAATGTCCTCCTTTGTGAAAAGTCTTTCCATGTCTCTTGCCCATTTTGTAATTGGATTATCAGCCTTTATCTTCTGGAGACCAAGGAGTATTCAGTATTTGTTATGAGACTCTTGTCTGAGAAGGTATTACAAAATATTTGTCCCCAGTTCGTACGGGTTTTTTTCACTCTGTTGGCAAAAGGTTTTGATGAACACAGAGATTTAATGTCTGATTCATCAATTTTATCCTCTTCAAATTGCGGATTTCTGGATTTCTGGCTGTATATTTGGCAGTCTCTTTATATCATAGATTAGGCCTTCTAAGCATGATCTCAGTTTGTCTCTGATGAACTTTATGGTTTTAAGCTTTATTCCCAGGTCTCTGATCCACCTTGAGTCAATTTTTGTGTGTGGTGTGAGATGTGGATCCTGTTTCAGCTTTCTGCAGGTAGTAGTCTAGTTTTGCCAAAACCATTTGTTGAAGAGGTTGTCATTTCCTCTTTGATAGGTTTTATCTCCTTGTTGAATATTAATTGACTATAGATAGATAGGTCCATTTCTGGATTCTCAATTACATTCTATGTGCCTGTCATTGTACCAGTACCATACTGTTTTGGTTACTAGTGCTGTGTAGTAGGTTTTGAGATGAGAAAGTGCTATACCTCCCACTTCATTTTTTATTTTCTGAAGTACTTTGCTTATTTGGGGTATCTTTCCTCTCTAAATAAACTTGAAAATTTCCCTTTCAATCTCCTTGAAAAATGAATTTGTTATCTGGATTGGGAGAGATTGCATTGAACATTAGATTGCTTTTGGTAAGATTATCATTTTTACAATATTGAGTCCTCCTATCCATCAATAGGGAAAAATTTTCCAATTGTTTATGATGTTAGGAGAAAACTCTCCACCTTAACAAAAGCTTTTTTCTCCCCCTCCACTAATCAATCAATCCTAGTCTATATGCATATTACTGAAATATTTCAGTGTCAATCAACTCTTTTTGGTACGGTGACATATTCCTTCCATACACATTAGAAGAATTATACAAGATTTTCCCTGTAATATCTCTCAGTAATGCAATTCAAGGCTTGAATTTATTTTTCCGTTCTTTCAACTTGGGAAGTGCTGAGTGAGTTCTTCCTTTTTTGTTCTCAAACTCCATCATTTTCCATTGTATTTTGCTTTGTTCTCTCTAACTGCCCCTTAAAAATGTTATGTTCATCTGTTTTTACTTCAGCATCGCTTCCCTTTATTCTGTCTTCCTGAGCTCTCATGCAATTTTTAGAGACTTCTTCTTTTTTTTTTTTTTATTTTTTTTTAGAGACTTCTTCTGACATCAGGTTTTTTGTGGCTCATGAAAGATATACTTGATGTCATCTCACAACTCATCTGGTCTTTGATTATTGCTGTTTATCATCTCAAACTTAATCTTAAGAAGATGTTTAAATTCAAGTGGGATAGGTTCAAGGTCATATTTTGATTCTTTTTTTTAATATTTAGTGAATTTACTCAAATGAAAGATGCTTAAACAATACAGAACTGAAAAATATTAGGATTCTAAAAATGAGTAAAAATTGAGCATAAATTAGCCAAATCCAGGGGCATTTCCAGTTAAGCATTCATACAAATACATATTCACCATTTTTTCTTTTATACAGGTATAATACATACATCTTCGTCATAATGATTCTGACAAAAATAATCTGAGAAATAGTCTCAAGATTTTAAAATGCTTTGGATTAGGTTTTAATAACATTCTACATGAATGTAAACCTTAATTTACATTATTTTAATTCCATGATTTTATCATGTCAGAAGCACAGTGGTTTTCATTATTTTAATATATCCTGGTATCTTAGAGTATTGGCTTATTACTAATTAAGGCATTTTGTATACACAGTAGTATCTCAATGTGAACAAAAAATTAATATTAATAATCGGCTATAATGTTTTAAACTTTCAAAGTCTCTTCAACTTAAGGAAAATAGCTGCACACATTTAAGTGTTTTCATATAAAACACAATCTTAAAAAAAAATTCTTGATGATCAGTCTTTGTGGTTCCCATTAATAAGTCCTTTCTTATTCTTTCACATAGGATAAATTATATTATGCAATATGCAGGAGTGCATTGAGACCCAGTAGTTCTTAAACAGTATTACCAAATAACCATAAAAATCCCAAATGCAGCAAAAGTGCACAATCTTCATAGTGCACTTTCACCTTATTGAAGTTGTAGCTTCTCCTTTTGATAGTTTTCCACTTCAATGTGAAGTAGACGGTTAGGATTTCATTGTTGTTGTTATGTGCCGTCGAGTCGTTTGCGACTCATAGCGACCCTATGCACAACAGCCCTAAATCCTGCGCCAACCGCACCGCCTCT